AAAAGAGAACTTTTTTTTCTTTTCTTTTCTTCCGCTTGTTGATTGATTTTTATGGCGACCGTCACTATACTGTATGGGTTTTTTTTTTATTTTTGAAGGCTGTATGATTGCCTATATAGATATAATAAGATGTGGTATGAGTGCCAATGAGACAAATCTCCATCCAAGTCAAAATTTATAAAAGTAAACCATTATAGGTCACAGTACGGTCTATAACTGCTTACATCCACTCCAGTTTTACTTAAGGATATAGTTATTTCATTGGCAATCATACCACACTTCTTTCTTATTATACTATACCAAATCAATCAATTTGATTTTTGGTGTTTAACGCCACTTGTAAGCACCGCATTTAGGCTATTTCGTGGCGGTCAGCTTTTAATTATGGAAGCCGAAGTGTCCGGAGAAAACCACCGACCTTCGATAGGAAAACTGACAATCCTAGTCAATTAAGATTGGAGTCGAGTGCACCCGCACGAGCGGGATTCGAACTCACAACCTCAGTGTTGACTGGCTAGTGGTTACAGTAGTAACTACTTAGACCAATCGGCCACCAAGGCCCCCGCAAATCAATCAATAATTATTTACTGAGAAGATGTTAAACAATGTATTGGCCATGATTCAACCATTTTAAGCACTTCAAATAAAGCATTGAATATATGACTTTTATTTATCTGTTAAAACTGGTCAATAAACTATCATAATTTCCACATTTTATCAATTTTTTAATTTCTCATATCATTACTGGTGATCTTTGATCTGATCACACTTAACCCTAACAGTAATTTACTGGGTTTTTTTTGAGAGACTAAATATCAATAAGTCATGCACAAACCGTACACTCATTCCTATTTAATATCATCAACAAAGACAACAGTGAAAATCCAAAGTTTAACGCGTGTTTCTTTTGTTTTTTATTTTACAATTGGTTTATATTTACGGAAGCCCATAGGGGACCAACAAAAAAATAATATTATATCGTTATCTCAATATGTATATCGTTATTTCGATATAATTAAATCGTTATCTCGATATATATTTATATCGTTATCTCGATATTTATATCGTTATATCGATATATTTATTTCGTTATCTCGATATAATAATATTTTTATCTCGATATTTATATACATGTACTTAAGGTGCAACCTTTTTTAAAAATAACTCAAAAACTTGTACATTTTTCAAAATTCTAGCAGAGGGTAAAATGATCAGTACATAATGATCTATCTCTGCCAAAATTTACGTTCAGGTTGATTGGAAAACTTATCCAAGAGCTATTGGCATTTATTTGCATTTTTTCAAATCTTCATCTTAATTTTGACAATATCTTGAAAGTCGTAAAAGCTAGAGCCTTTTTCAGTTTTTCATAAATTTTCCAAAGTATTTCTTGTTACAATTATCTTACTCTTCCAGGTAACAGACAAATTTCCCTGTTTACAGAAATGTCATCTATCCAGGAGCAATAGAACGCTATCAAAGTCCACTTTAACCTTTATTTGACATCGAACTTAAAAGAAATACACAGTTCCCTATGCATTATGATATCAAAAATTTAAATGCATGAGAAGTACATAAAGGTTTTCATTGGTACATGTAGTAGATATGGAATTATAAATATATATATACAGATACAACACTGTATACATTTTGTTTATTTATATACTTCTTTTAGAGTAAGAAATACATTTCGCCTAAATTTTCAAAATTACTGTTTCTTATTTGTTTTTATCGATCAAATCAAATCAATTCAATTCAAATTTTAGGTTAAAAGCTAGAGCCTTTAGTTAGTTTGAATTGCAAATTGTTCAGATCATTAAGTGCTATAATAAGTTCTTGTGGGCAAAACTTTCAAATTTTGCTTCTCTTAAAATAGCCAAATTTGCAGATTTTCGCATAATTTTAGTTATTTATTGAAAACTATAGGCCCCAGGTTTGCTTGAATTTTATTTTTTTTATAATATACACAAGGTCAGTTATTCGACAAATCATGAAAATGGCCTTCGTTTGCTCGTTGTATTTTATTTATGTAATATTAAAATGAGAATGGAAATGGAGAATATGTCAAAGAGACAACAACCCGATCAAAAAGCAGAAAACAGCTGAAGGCCACCAATGTGTCTTCAATACAGCGAGAAAATCCCGCACCAGGAGGCGTGCTTCAGCCGGCCCCTAAACAAAAATTTATAATAGTTCAGTGATTATGGACGTCATATTTAACTCAGAAATATATAAAAGAAACAAAAATTAAAAGTCATACAAGACTAACAAAGGCCAGAGGCTTCTGACTTGGAACAGGCGCAAAAATGCGGCGGGGTTAAACGATGTTTTGTGAGATTTCAACCCTCCCCTTATATCTTTAGTAAATGTAGAAAAAACACACAAACAGCAATACGCACAGTAAAACTTAGTTTGAAATTACAATGATACATAAATTAACAAAGGACTATTTATTAGCAGTTACTGACATGCCAGCTCTAGACCTCAACTAAATTGTCTGGATCAACATCTTTAAATTTTCAAAAGTATATTTCATTTTCTTTAAAATGAGCCATAAACCGACATTTTACATGTAATAATAAAAAAAGTTAGGCAACGAAACATCTCATAATTTGAAAACACATATACCGAGGTCAGATAACTATCGGGCAGCGCTGGCTAACCCCAATAGGGGATTAATCAATAATTCTTCATTTCACGCGCTTCAGATGGATGTCAAACCTTGACAGAAATTAAACATAAAATTGAGAATGGAAATGGGGATGTGTCAAAGAGACAACAACCCGACCATAGAACAGACAACAGCAGAAGGTCACCAATAGGTCTTCAATGTAGCGAGAAACTCCCACACCCGGAGGCATCCTTCAGCTGGCCCCTAAACATATATCTATACTAGTTCAGTGATAATAGACGTCATACTAAACTCCGAATTATACACAAGAAACTAAAATAAAAAAATCATACAAGACTACCAAAGGCCAGAGGCTCCTGACTTGGGACAGGCGCAAAAATGCGGCGGGGTTAAACATGTTTTTGAAAACTCTGTTTATTTTTTTTTCGCTGGCAGTTTGATCCGCTTGCTTGATATGTCAATTTCTGTTTATGTTGATTGCTGTTTGCTTAACGTCCAGTCGCAAAGATTTCATGTTTAATCGGAACGAAAAGAAGATGGCGATAGACCAGGAAAGCCGATCGAACTGCCGGTGCTAAAATGTAATATCGTTAACGGTTTTGTATCGATCTGTAGCTATCGCAAAAATGCGTTACTTTCTATTGACACTGAATAGATAGCATTTCTGCAAACCGGGAACCTTAATCTGTTACCTGGACGACTAAGATAATTGTAAACAGGAAATATTTTGGAATAACATTAATAAAAAAGGCCATAGCTTTTACGATTTTAAAGATATTGTCAAAATTATAAAAAAATGAGAAAAATGCAAATAAAGCCATAGCTCTGAAACGAATTTTCCGATCAACCAGAACTTAAATTTCGACAGAGGCAGATCACAATGTACAGTGGTCAATTTTACTCTCTGCTAGATTTTGATATCTGTATATTTTTTTGAGTTTTTTGCAAAAAGGTGACATAACCCCACTTAACTATATGTTTATATCGAGATAACGAAATAATTATATCGCGATAACGATATAATTACATCGAGATAAAGAAATAAATATATCATTATAGCGATATAAATATCGAAATATCGAAATAACGATATAAATATAACGAGATAACGATATAAATATAACGAGATAACGATTTAATTATATCGAAATAACGATTTGTATATATTGAGATAACGATATAACTCCGGCCTCCTCCACCAATAAAAACTGGCCGCCAAGAAATAGCCCAAAAGCAGTGCATAAAAGTGGCGTAAAAACAATCAAATCAAATCAAGAGCTTGCGGTCATCCGATGTGCAGTACTTCAGTATTTCGAGTCTCATTGTTAAAGGCCGTACGATGACCTGTAACTAATTGTTTATATCCACTAGTTATTTAAACTCATGTGGATAGTTGTCTCATGGGCAATCATATAGCTACTTATATTTACATTGTTTTTGACTGATCTATTACTTATGTTCATTGTTCGTAAAAATAATGCAGCGTTTGTAAATAATTTAATGGATTATGAGTAAATAATAACACACTGGCATCAAGGATTCTTTTAATGCATCTTATAAAACACAAAATAACAAACAAAACAATGTACATGTGTGACATGTAAACAAACAAAAAATTGTACATGTGTGACATGTATTATAATAGAAACTGACAAGTAACTATGGTAACATTAAATAGCAAATACGATTAAATGTGAAACAGGGATCCAATCAGTTCCCCCATTACTTCAATGCAATTTTATCCAAATTGAGGGGCAGATTTTTTTATTCACTATATAAGACTTTAATTTTTCAGTTTCGTGGTTTTTAGGAGAATTATGACTTTCGAACAGTGGTATACTTCTGTTGCCTTTATTTATTGATCGGCATTTAAGAGAGCAATACTTTTTTGAGTATTAATAGAGTAATTTTGATAAAATTAAAAATTTAATTGAACTATTTCTCAGATAACAATCCACCCTATACATTTCAGAATCAATTAAATTTAAATCGAAAGTTTAAAGTTTATTGAAGCATCTTTACAAAATTTTCATGTCTGTACAATATCCCATTTAACATGTTAAAAAGATGGTAAAAGTGACTTCATTCGTGAATACTGCTCTTGTATCCGTTAACTGGGATCCTATTTCATATATATATAATATATAAAAAGTAAATGTTAACATAAAAAAACAATTATCGAATCATCCGAGTCGTAATTTGTATGGCTGTACAACAATTAAATCTTCAATAATAATAATAACAAAAATAGTCACGATAACCAAAATAGTAACAAGAACAAAGCTAGTCTTTTGGTTTTTAACTTTTTTTTTGTTATTTAGTAACATTCTTTCAATTTGTGAATGTAACCATGTAACTGTACGGCCAAACAGTAGATAATTGTAAGTGCGTGTCTAAATACAAGTGTGTTTTTTCATGTGACTCTGTAAATTTATATTCTGTGTAAAACATTTATAACATAAACCACATTTAAAAGGTTTATCACCAGTATGTAATCTCATGTGTGTTTGTAAGTAACCTTTTTGATTAAATCCTTTTCCACACACATCGCATTTAAAAGGTTTATCACCAGTGTGTATTCTCATGTGCGTTTGTAAGGGTTGAAAACTACGAAATGATTTACTACATACATCACATGTATAAGGTTTAGTCCCGTTGTGTGTTATCATGTGTGTCAGTAAGGTCAATCTCTGGTGAAACCCTTTACAACAAACATCACATTTAAAAGGTTTATCATCATTGTGTGAACTCAAGTGAGACCTCAAGTTCTTACTCTTACTAAACTCTTTCGCGCTTACGTCACATTTATTCGTTTTATCACCAGTATGTAATCTCATGTGTGTTTTTAAGTGACCTTTTTGATTAAATCCTTTTCCACACACATCGCATTTATAAGGTTTATCACCAGTGTGTATTCTCGTGTGTGTTTTTATGTGACATTTTTTATTAAATCCTTTACCACACACATCACATTTATAAGAATTATCACCAGTGTGTGTTTTCATGTGACTCTGTAAGGTTACTCCCTGGCTAAACCCCCTCCCACACACATCACATATAAATGGTTTCTCGTGTGTATGCGTTCTCGTGTGAGTTGTTAAGTGCTGATTCTTCCTAAACGCTTTCAAACATATTTCACATTTATACTGTTTATAATCGTCATGACCAGTATGTATTCTCATGTGCCTCATTAAGTCGTAATTTCGTCTAAACCCATTACCACATATATCACATTTGAAAGGTCTTTCACCAGTGTGTGCTGCTATGTGTCTCTTCAAGTACCAACTAGTAGTAAACCCTTTACCACATACATCACATTTATAAGATTTATCACCTGTATGTGATCTCATGTGGCTCTGTAAACTACTAAGCTCGCCACAACTTTTCCCACATACATCACATACATAGGGTTTTTCACCAGTATGTGTTCTCATATGCTTTTGCATGTGATATTTATAAACAAATCCTCTACCACATACATCACATTTATAAGGTTTTTCACCAGTATGTGTTCTCATGTGGACCCGTAGATTACTAAGCTGACTAAACCCTTTATCACATACACCACATTTATAAGGTTTTTCACTCGTATGTGTTCTCGTGTGGACCCGTAGATAACAAAGTTGATTAAACCCTTTATCACATACATCACATTTAAAAACCTTTATAGGTTTACCTTCAGAGTGAATTTTCAAGTGTGTCTTTAAGTCATCATCCTTACGAAAACTTTTACCACATTTATCACAGATATGACATCTAGCGTGTGTCTTTAAATGCATCTGTAAAACACTATATGCACGAAACTCTTTTTTACAGATTTTACATTTGAAAGCTTGGTTTCCAGTATGAGTTATCATATGTTCTTCTAGATCTGCATTGCTACTGCACTCCTTACCACACACTTTACAAGTATAACTAATTCCTCTTTCATGAGAGCAAACTATGCGTTCCGTCATTAATGGACCGGAAGTCTGAACCAGGGAGACCATCATAGAAGTAGCTGATGTTCCGTTCATATTTCTCCACTTTTGATATCTGTCAGTTAAAAGAAAATAATGATGAAACAACTGCAAAATCAGTTTATAGAAAGATGAATTAATACAATGTGCATGTTATGTCCAATTGAAAGGTGTACCTTTTCGATTTTGATATCTTTTTAAAAACTTTTTTATACTCACTATAAATGAAAAGAAAATAATTATAACAAAAAGGAAAACGTTGGGACTAAAGTGAAAGACACAAATGAACACAATAATGAAATGGGTGTAAACCATCCAGACTCGATTTTTCGAAATTCGAAATATGCTGTAACTTTTTGACCAATTATAAAAATAGTCAATAATGCTCTAAATGAATTGTCTGAACTTGAACACAGTCACTTAGCTTAGAACTGTAAAAAAAATCTGTTTGAAATAAATATCTCATATTTGATTTATAACAATGTAAAACATTTATCTAAATAATTAAAAGTCTAAAATAAACAATTTACAGGCCATGGGCTCGATAATATGTAGCTTCTTTTCGTGTGTATTCTTGTCTAGACGCCATCTAATTAACTGTGTTTGACATTAACACGTGGACAATATGTTCTGACGTGTGTTTGACATTAACGAGTGAACGATATGTTCTGTGTTTGACATAAACGAGTGGACGATATGTTCTGTGTTTGACATTAACAAGTGGACGATATGTTCTGTGTATAACATTAACAAGTTGACGATATGTTCTGTGTATAACATTAACACGTGGAAGATATGTTCTGTGTTTGACATTAACGAGTGAACGATATGTTTTGTGTATGACATAAACAAGTGGACGATATGTTCTGTGTATAACATTAACAAGTGGACGAAATGTTCTGTGTTTGACATTAACAAGTGGACGATATGTTCTGTGTTTGACATTAATAATAAGTGGACGATATGTTCTGTGTTTGACATTAACGAGTGGACGATATGTTCTGTGTTTGACATTAACAAGTGGACGATATATTCTGTGTTTGACATTAACATGTGGACAATATGTTCTGTGTTTAACATTAACATGTGGACGATATGTTCTGTGTTTGACATTAACAAGTTGACGATATGTTCTGTGTATAACATTAACAAGTGGACGAAATGTTTTGTGTTTGACATTAACAAGTTGACGATATGTTCTGTGTTTGACATTAAAAAGTGGACGATATTTTCTGTGTATGACATTAACAAGAGGACGATATGTTCTGTGTATGACTTTTACAAGTAGACGATATGTTCTGTGTATTACATTAACGAGTGGATGATATGTTCTATGTATAACATTAACAAGTGGACGATATGTTCTGTGTATAACATTAACAAGTGGACAAAATGTTCTGTGTTTGACATTACCGAGTGGACGATATCTTCTGTGTATAACATTAACAAGTGGACGATATGTTCTGTGTTTGACATTAGCGAGTAGTCGATATGTTCTGTATATGACATTAGCGAGTGGTAGATATGTTCTTTGTATGACATTAACAAGTGGACGATATGTTCTTTGTATGACATTAACAAGTGGTAGATATGTTCTTTGTATGAACCATATTTGCTGCTAAAAGCGAATTTTAATAAAATGTTCACTATTTCACTTTTATTAATGATTGAACCAAAACAATCATATTTTAAATTTGTTTTTAAATATCTCGTAGCTAGTATCCCTTTAATACAGATTTATAAGGTTTATAAATTGTGTTGTTATTTTTAACAATAGAGCGGCAAAATTTCAGGATATATAATATCTTGTATTCATGTGATTATCGATTTGTTAAAAAAATAGGCCAATGATAATCTTTTAAATATAAACTTGATGAATAGTAAGAATAAAAACATAATTTCAAAAATCAAGTCCTCTCGTGTTCTTGTTGGAATAATTCTTACTGAGCAAAAAAAAACGGTATTGTTGCTGTATATTTATTTAATTTCAAACAAAATACGCCACTGCTTAGATTTTTGTTTAAACTGTTTCCTCTGATTTTGCAACTTCGCTAGCCAAGGCGATCCACTCCCCTCCTCTCCTGTCCATAGGAGGGGAGTGGATCGTAACCCTTGGCTAGCTAAGATGCTGATTTTGTTTACTAGACGTTCCATGGGTATTAATTTGTGGTTATCCCCCATAGATACATTCGTTGCAAGTAAACTTGTTTGAAAAACGTTTATTTAGCGGGCTAATTCATCTTTACACCGAGTAAATAATGTTATTTTAAATGTATTATTTAAATCTATGTCATTTTAGACACCAAGGCTAAAATTGCATAGCTCAGTTAATATGCATGTTACAGTGTTACCTGGGATGCTTCGTTTCTATTTATACATGTACATATGGAACGCAATTGTGGCAATAGTCAATAGTCCTAACAATTATGAAGTCTTGAAAGGCTATTATTTTTTATACTCTGAAGCATAGCCTTTCAATGTTTCATGACGTCATAATAATTTGGAATAGGGCGGCAAAATAAAAGAAAGTATTATTAATTCATATACATTTTAACTAATTTGATTTGCTCAGGAATTGTCACATGTTAAACTATATTTTTGAAAGTAAATAGAAAACGGCTGTAGCAAAGGTGGTTACTTTTAGAATATCTAAAAACCGATTTGTCCAAACAAAAAGTATGTGTTTTTACTGTCACATGTTGAAAAAAAACAGGGTAGGTACGTAGGGATTTTTTTTATTTAATTTTTTTTTTTTACATTGAGTCTATGGGAGCAACATTGTGACTTTAACAGTGCTTAATAAAAAATGGCCAATAAAACTTTAGGGTTGGGGATAAACATTAGGGTATGTAGGAGTACAGTAAACATACATACTTTTTTTGGCCTTTTCTTTGTGACGTCATCTAAGGAATTTCATGATATTGTTAAAAGATTTTTAAATAAATGTATATTTATATGATCGATTATTTGAAAAAAAAAATATCTTCCAAAACATAAGACAAAATAAAATAGTATGTATGGTTTCAGATACATTAAAAAAAAGTAAGTGTATGTATGTATAGATTTTTTTTATTTGATGTTTTTTTTTTACTTCATTATGCATGTTATGTGTATGTGAGCAATATTCTGATTTTAACAGTGCTTATTGAAAATTGAAAGAAATAATCTTAAGGGTATGCTATTATCAAGACTTAAACGTAGGTTTAGGTAGTGTAACTGGAACCACACATATATTTTTATTTGGCCTAAAACAAACGGCAGGTAAAAAATAATTCAAACAACAAATAATATGTTAACACTGTTCATAAAGAAGGATCATTTCCTACAATCTTTGTAGGCTTGCTGTCACGTAAAACGTAATTATGATAATATTTTTTTTTAAAGTTGCAATATTTATAAATGATATTGTAGCTGAAATTCAGTCAGAAATACAACTTTTTGCAGATGACACAAGTCTAAAATTGAGAATGGAAATGGGGAATGTGTCAAAGAGACAACAACCCGACCATAGAGCAGACAACAGCCGAAGGCCACCAATGGGTCTTCAATGTAGCGAGAAACTCTCGCACCCGGAGGTGTCCTTCAGCTGGCCCCTAAACAAATATGTATACTAGTTCAGTGATAATGGACGTCATACTAAACTCCAAATTATACACAAGAAACTAAAATTAAAAATCATACAATACTAACAAAGGCCAGAGGCTCCTGACTTGGGACAGGCGCAAAATTGCGGCAGGGGTTAAACATGTTTTTTGAGATCTCAACTCTCCCCCTATACCTCTAGCCAATGTAGGAAAAACAAACGCGCAACAATACGCACAGTAAAACTCAGTTTAAGAGAAGTCCGAGTCCGATGTCAGAATATGAAACAAAAGAAAATAAACAAAATGACAATAATACATAAATAACAAATGACTACTAGCAGTTACTGACATGCCAGCTCCAGACCTCAAATAAACTGATTGAAAAATTATGCCTTCATCATATGAATATCAGGCACAATCCCTCCTGTAAGGGGTTTAGTATTACACCATCATGAAATATATGAGAAGAACATAACCCGTGTCATGCCAACAACTGGTTTTAGAATAAATGTGTTTAATTCCGAAGCAAAGACCCTATAAGTGAATCAATATTAAAGCCAAAATGTGCAATCTTTAATGACCTGACAACAGTATCGTAACTATATCCCTTCTTAATAAGTCTTATAGGGGACAATCCTGAAAATGATGCATTAAAGTTAAATGACGATTTAAAGAAAATTCACTACTGGTCAGAGAAGTCGTTGGTTAATTTTAATGCAAATAAAACTGAGAGCATGACCATATCCCGGAAACTTAAAAAACCATTGCATCCACCGCTTTAGAAGAATAATTTCCCTTTAAATCTGTAAATGAACACAAGCATCTTGGTGTGATACTGTCAAACGACGGTAATTGGCACAAGCATATCGATATGATAGTTAAAAATTCCCGCTTAAATATACTTAGAAAATTTGAATTCATTTTAAACAGAAAACTTTAGAACAACTTTCTTTTTCTTATATAAGGTCAGTTCTTGAATATGCTGATGTAGTTTGGGATACATCAACATTGATTTTAGTTCACAAAATAAACAGCGTCCAAATAAAGGCTGCAAGGATTGTGACTGGAGGAACACGGTTAACATCTATTAATTTACTTTACAAGGAAACGGGATGGGAAAAACTAAAGGATAA